AATAACCAGCAATAGCTTTGCTCCAAAAAGCAATTCCACCAGTGCAAAGTTCTTCTTAAGTGTTATGAGTCTTCTAACATCTGCAAGGTCAAGCACTTCTGAGGGTTTTTAGTGATGGTGGGTTGGTATTGCCAGTTTCTCCCCCTTCAGACTGACGTTGTCTAAATGTAATTCCTGTAAGAACAGCTCAGGCTCTCTGACATCTGAACAATGGAACATGCATTTAGTTGTAGCCCTCATGCCGCCTCCACACTTATCGACAAGGTTTCTGTGACAGCTTTAAGAAAGGCAGAGCACATTGCATATGTAAAAGAAGAGTGCTCTGTACTCATTATGGGCTTCATAATGTAGCTGCCAACCCAAAACATTTCCCCTTTCCACTGCACAAGTGTGATATATTTTGTGTGATAGAAAATTGCCAGGAGATTATTTTGGGTCACGGTCAAAGAGGTCACTGCTTGGGTGAAGGATGACATTCCGCCAAGTTTTTGAAGGGACATTGCGGAAGCTCTGCAGCTGAGGACTCCTGAGCATGGGTTCACGGGTACCTGTGAGGACAGTTACTGCAGTGTCATTGCTTGCCTTTCTTGAGAATGATCGATGTAATCTGACAGAGGAGATTTCTCAAATGAGTCGAGTGGATTTTGTAAATTTAACCACCTTCCCTGATCATCAAGCTGATTAAACACAAAGTGGTGGTGTCTCTATCCATGGCTGTGGCAAGCAGAGCCAAGTGTAGCAACCGGAATTGAAACTGTTCTTCCCAAATCAGAAAAGCCCAGAGGTTTTGAAGTGGCAGTGCCTGGGTTTGTATATTTGGGCGTTTTTTTGGAGAAAGACAGGAGAGATTTGACAGTTGTCAAGATCAGCAAGGTAGTCTAACTGAAGTATGAGTTCAACAGTGGTTGAATATGCAGCCTGCGGGCTCAGAAGCCTCTCATAAAGGACGTAACTTTATCTTGTCCTTGTGATATTGTGCTTTGATTCAACTAACTAATGATTTATTATAACCTGGAGGGTAATAAAAAATACTATGCTGAAGCTTTTATCGTTTCATTTTGGTTCGCATTAAATTTTGGTGCTATCTTTTACTGGTGTTTCTAACTTCCACTTTCTGTGTAAGTTTAGATTAATAACCCACATGTGAGAACTCGGGAAGGCAGGCTGTCTGTGTGTTCAGTGCTGGTTGTGCTGCTCTAGCCCATTTCTCTGGTTAGATACTTGTCTCAGTGGGCTCTACTACCTTCTGTATTATATTTTCACAAGCAGTTTGCTTGAGAAAAAAAAGAGGGTAAACATGAAGAAGCTGTATTTTTTTGCACCTCCCTGCCTGAAGACATTGCTGCTGTGATGTGGCTGGATCCAGGCAACATGGCTTTGGAAACTCCCAAAAGGATATTTCAGGTAAGTTGTAGTTGTCACATCCAGCTTTCCCGGGACAAAACCAACTTGACTCTTGCTACTCTAAACATCTCCATCAGGTGTGGGTAAACCCTACTGCTTTCCAGCCTAGATTCCCTTGCTCCCTGTTGTGTCATATCATGTACACATTTTGTGTTTACCTGTGAGGCTGGAATGTGGTCCACACTGCAACTGGGGACTTGCAAACCCTTTGGTAGCCATAGTATTGCTAAATCAGTTTACCATACTCATGTTTCTTGTGGATATAGTTGTTCCTCCCCAGGTTCTCTCCCAGACCGAGAGATTTAGTGGAAAGCAACTCAGAAAGTCCATACAAAGGTGTTAACAGTCCCCAGAATTAATTAGTTTCATTCTGATGGCTGAAGAGCTCCCAACATAACTGCCTGGTTTCAGGTCAAATTATGCCTGCAGATGAATTGTCCTTTTATATACCATTTTAATACCACCCTGCTTCTGTAAATCAAAAAACTAGAGATGAGTACAGTAATTATTACCATTATGAACATATATTTTTACTTATTTTTAATGCAGCACCATGAATACCACTGTGTTGGGCATGATAGAGCAGCACCACAAGTACCAAACTTGCCAGAATCTGGAATATCTTTTGTTTCAGGTTTTTGGCATAGGATTAAATGTTTTGTATCTTCCTGTGCCTGTGCATTCCACTGTATAAAAAGAAAAGCAATAACTTTTGAGCTGCTTCTGCTGAGGAATTTTTGCCTGCTCTAAAATCACAGGCTCAGAGGGACGCAGGCATTGGGGCAGTCGACGTGACATTGACCCCGAGGTAGAAAACAGCTCTGTCTCAAGCACTGCCCTTATCTCCTCTTCTGTTAGCTGGTTATCTGGAGCCTGCACCTTGCAACCTCAGGTGTATTGTCATCAATCATTTGCTATTTTCTTTTGCGTGCTGGTTCCTCTCTGCCCTTCCTTTGTTAATAACCCAGTTTGCCTATATCCATAAAAATATCTGATTGTGATACCATTTATCCAAAGCGCCATACATCCATCATGTACTTATGAGCGAGATAAACAAGGTCTCCTGGGAAATATGCTGCGAGAAATATATAGGATAAATAACTATATCAAATGTATGTCAGTGTGCAAAAGGGGAAAATCCATTCATTAAAATCCGGGTGGAACTGCAGTGTTTTATTGTACCCTCTAAGCTTTTAGTTTAACTAAGAAACATACATTTCTGCTGCTTATCTCATCTTGCACAACTCTCATGCTGCCCACTTCGGCAGGAGATATATTAGCTTCTTCAACTGCCATTGTAAATGTGTAATTGCTCATAATCTTTTCTTTTTTTTTTTTTTTTTTCTCCCTAGACTTACAGGCAGCTTCTTCCTTTCTCCCAGCTTTGCTGCTCCTGAATTCCAGCATGCCAATATTTGAGCCCTGGGGGGTAGTGGAGGACTGGAGTGAGAGGAGAGGGGCACTACCCACCTGCCTCTGGTGTTTAAAGGAAGCCCTTGGATTTGTATTTTCAGTGCCTTGGGTTGTGAGATGAGTCATGAGAATGAACAACTGCAGGTAAAACATAGCTTTTTCTGCTCTTGTTTGTATGTGTTTCATAGTGGCATTTTATATGCAGTTTCTTTAATCACTTGGATTTATTCTTTTTTGAGGTTCTCCAGCCTGTGATCTGTCCTTCTAGAAACAACTCTAAAAGCTGAGGATGGAGGTTCCCTTCCTGCAGGTCCCATCCCTCCCCAGCTTCCAAGGCATCAGGTCTTTCTGTTCAATAATTTCTTGCCTCTGGTCACAAAAGAAGCATACTTGGCATTCTGTCTAAGGTGACTTTATACTCATTTATTTGCAGGCCTTTTCCCGAGTCCTAAGAAGTCAATGTAAATGTAAGAACTACCTAAGAGCCAAACTGGTCCTTGGTGTAAGAGCCCTGTCTCATGGTTCTACATAAACTAATGGTTTTAAACCAAAAGAGGAACTATTCAGACTTAAATATAAGGAAGAACTTTTTTACAGTAAGGGTGGTGAAAATGAGGGTGGTGAAACACTGGCACAGGTTGCCCAGAGAGGTGGTGGATGCCCCATCCCTGGAAACATCCAAGGTCAACTCTGAGCAACCTGGTCTAGTTGAAAGTGTCCCTGCTCATGGCAGAGGGGTTGGACTAGATGACCTTTAAAGGCCTCCCTTCCAACCCAAACTATTCTGTGATTCTAAGCAGTCTGTATAAAGGTAAGAATCACCTCTAAGCCAAATTTAACCACCTTCCCTGATCATTGATCCTTGGTGTAAGAGACCTGACTCACGTTTCCACATAACCTGGCAGCCCAATGCCAAACAGCATTGATCAAACCACTGATGGGAAAACCTGCTGAGATTCTATGTTCCTATTCCTTTGAGATGTCTAAATCACACTGTTTTGTGGGTGCTTCATGCTGCTGCATTTTCCTAACATAGAAGACATCAGAATCAGGCCCTTGGGAGCAAATTCCTCTCTGGATAAATATCACCTTCACCTGGAAAAGCAAAGTTAGCTAAAAGGCCACAGTTTTGCTATTCATCATAGGGATTTTTCACAGAATGAGTACATCTGAGGATTCAAGACAATGTGTTGCCATTTTCAGCCTATAGTTTCATTTACAAGCAAAAGAGAAGTGGTGGAAAATTGTCCTTTGGCAAACATGCCCACAAAAGAAAATATAAGACCAGATTTTCAGGTACCATAAATCAGCTGTGGTGAAGGAACAACACTGATTTACATCAGCTGAGCGTCAGCCTATAAATCCCCACTGACACGCTGTTGAAAAACAAGTATTTCCAAGCACCAGAGCTATACCTGAGCAATTTCTTTCACTAAACCATGATTCCTTTCTCCTCCTTCTTTCCATTCATATGTATATAGAAGGGCTGCTTTGTGCTTTGAGGTTTTGGTGCTCTTGTTGTTCATAGGGTCTGATTCCTTCTCAGGGCTTTTTTTCCCTTCCTTCCCTTGTAATGAAAAGCTCAGTAAAATGAAGTATCATTCGCCTTCCACCCATCCCAGTTTTTTGTGGCAGTTCATTAAGAAGAGGGAGCTGCAGGCTCTTGCCGTGGTCTCTGGGCACAGTTCAATACTGTGTGCATTCTTGTGCTGAGATTTACGTCTCACATTCAAAAAAGCTCCTTAAATCAAGGAACCCGTTAGCATCTTCTCAGGCTCTGGGTGCCTGGGAGATAAAATGCTTGAGTGCTAATAGTCAATTCATCACTGATCTTACAGAGGAATAGCCTTTGCTTATGTGTGAACATCCTCTGCAGAATGGTTGTGTTTGAGCCTCTCCATTTATTACTTTATTTATCTATTTTAAATTCTTTGTCAATTTGGGTTTATATTTTGCAATGATGCTTTGGCATCTTTAGGCTTAAGCCTTCTCCACACAGAGCAGCATATGGCTTTGCTGCAAATGCAGCCCTGGCCAATATGCTGGACTAAAAAATCTGACAGTGCCAGCTTACAAAAGTTCCATGGTACATATGTCAATATCAGCTGCATAAAACTGCAAGGATCATGAGCTTCTTTTTGTGTTTTGCAAAGGCAAATACATAAACTTTCTGAGAGTCAAGCTTACTTATGTAAACACTTGTGGTAAATTTATTTCACGACATATTTTAGCCCCACAATCATCTAGCAGCAAAGCCACCTGTGGGAATTTCCCACCATCTCCTGTACTACAGCTGTGCTGCTGTGCACTGGGTGGGGTTCCCATCACAACTGGTGAGGCAAAACATGTTCAGTCCACCAAAGCAGTTGGTGAGGTTTTGTACAGTGAATCCAGCACATCTCCATACATGGCAATACCAGCCAATTATTTCTCCTCAGGGTAATTCCATTGCATGCCTTGAGTATTTATAGCCCAGCACAGACTCCAAACCACTCTGCCCTGGGTACCTGTGGGCCTTCAGCAGGCCCTGCTCTGCAGGGGCTTCCCAGGGCAGGGCTGCCCACCATTCTGTGGGGCTGGGTTGGTGCACTGCCGTCTGCGCTGTGACGTGCCCGCCTGGCACGGGGACCAGCCTGACCAGCAGCTCCACTGCCCATCCGTCGCACTATCTGCAAACACATTGAAAAGAAAGGGAAAAACAAACAAGAAAAAAGAAGTATTTAGTTCTGAAGTGCCACCTACAGCCACCTGCCTTGGGTGGGAGCAGGGGAAGGAGTGAAATGCCAGCAGCACTTTGGGATTTCAGCTCTGGCTGTAACCCTTCTGTTTATGGACTCCCTGCTCCATCCCGGCTGTACCCAGCACACGGATGGCTGTTGAGATAAAGGCCCTCTGAAGCCAGGGGAGATGAATCACCTCAAACACCAACAGCTGTTTCTTTTTCTTCTCTGCTCATCTGAAAGGCTGTACCCTGGCTCTTCTTTCCCAAAGGGTACCTGACATCTCCCTCTGCACTAACTTTGTCACCTCTGACCAAGGCAGAGGGGCAAAAGTCCCCTAATGTTGTGGAGGTGTTGTGAAAAGTTTGCCCATCCTTTTGGAGTTGGGTCATTTCAAGGCTTTTCCATCACAGTACAGACTGAGTTGTCAGGAGTGGTCGATACTATGGATTATGGCGGCGCTCCTGAATGATGGGAATGCTTGATGGCTGTCATTTACTGTCATTTTTTATTTACTCATCTGGCCTTCATGCCTGGCTTGGGTACTTTATTAATCCAGACAGCACAAATGGATGTGTGTGCTCTTAGTTAGTGCTGGGTGGAAAGCTGGGTTTTCCATCTGCTGAAATGTTGTGCTTTAAAAAAACTGACCATGGTCTTAAATGAGTTTTGGAACTAAAAATTTGAGGTTTGTGTTAGTAATCATAAAATCACACAATAGTTTGGGTTGGAAGGGACCTTAAAGATTATCTCATTCCAGTCCCCCTGCCATGGTCAGGGACACCTTCAACTAGACCAACTTGCTCAAAGGCCCATCCAGTGCTTCCAGGGATGGGGCAGCCACAGCTTCTCTGGGCAATCTGTGCCAGGGCCTCACCACCCTCACAGTAATGTCTTCCTTATATCTAATCTAAACCTGCCCTCTGTCAGTTTGAAGCCATTCCCCCCCCACCTTGTCCTGAGCTGCTAATTTCAGTCTCTTGCAGGACTGCTCAGGATAGCCCAGCAACGAAAGCGATACAGAAGTGAAGGCTGGATTGATGTGTGGATGCAAAAAGCTGTTGGTTCATAGAATCATTATGCTGAGCTGGAAGGGACCCACAAGGATCATCAAGTCCAGCTCTTAGCCTCACACAGGACCATCCTCAGGAGTCACACCGCGTGCCTGAGAGTATCATCCAAATGCTTTTCGAACTCAGGCTTGGTGCTGTGACCACTTCTCTGGGGAGCCTTTTCCAGTGACCAACCACCCTTTGGGTGAAGAAACTTTTCCTAACATCCAACCTGTGGAGAGGAAAACCCAGTCCCTTGGCTGCTTCTCGCCCTCCCCTGTTTCGGGTGCACAGCGGGGTCTTACCTCGGTGCTTAGTGTTCTCGCAGGCAGGGCCGCTGGATTCCTGGCGACACTGGCAGGAGCAGGTGTCCCCCACCAAAAGGGGCTCTCCGTTGTTCTGGCATGGCCCACAGCGGCAGGGGTTGAACTCTGACAAATATTCATCCAGAGCCCGTTTCAGGTTTTGCCGCTTGGTTTCCATGTCACCAAGGTTACTTCTGCGGAGAATTTCGTGGATGGGCTGCAGCTGCATAGGATGGAGATGGATGGCATGGAAACAATTTCAGCTGGGCATCACTGAGATGCTGTGACATTGCTGGATAAACTCAGAACTCGGGAAAAACTCATTTGTCTTTCTCGACAGCTGCATGTACATCATGCAAATGTGTTACTACGACTGATGGGCCCTAGTGAGAAACCACCGTTCCAAAACCTTCCTCATCTTAGAGGTTTGTGTGGGATTGGCTTCTCTGGACATGCTTTGGAGTTTTAGTAAGGATTCCAATGATAAATTAAAACACCCCAGTAAGCCCATTTTTTGACTGATTTCTTAGTGCTGTCACAATCCCTGAGATTCTTGCATGCTTTTTGCCTTTTTGAAGAAAATGTTTTGGTAAGAGCTTTGGACAGAGGGACTCATCAAAATTTATTGCCAGCCTACCACTTACAGTGGCCAGATTGGGAAATATCCAGTAGATGCTGAGAATGAAGAATATTGCCTATGCATTTTTTGCCCTTTGATGTAGTGAAATATACTGTCATGATGTAGTGAAATAATACTGTAATCTACAGCTTTAAGAATATAACTTGCTCATCATATTTCCAGTAGCAAAATCCAGTTCTTGTATACCAGCAAAAACAGTTTGGGCAGCTGTAATTATAACTTGCCCAACTGACTAGTAATATTCAAATGAATATTAAAGCTAAAAGCTCAGGACTGTCTGAGGACACTTATTTATATTTGTCAATCCGTGCATCTGTGCAAACACTGCCTGTCTAGGCCAGGAATTGGTGGGAACCATTCCTAAAGGAGAACTGGGCATGATCTCATTGCACAAGGCACAGTGAGAGTGATTTGTGGAGAGGATCAGGATCAGCTGGACTTTGGGAAGAGCTCTTATGCAAATTTGCACAAGGCTGTTTAACAAACTGAGGGAGCTGCAGATAAGAGCTGCTGAAGTGGACACGAGCTCTTATCAGCCACTCCGGTTGCAGAGTGACTACTCAGCTCTGGAGCAGCCAACAGAGAGGTCAGCGCATGGTTTACTGGAAAATTGCAATAAATTTTGCCCAGGATTGATGGGAACTTGAGCAGAAAGGTGAATAACCTACAGCTGGACCTGAAAGTGCTTCTATGCTATCAGAGCTTTCTGCCATCAGGGTGCTGCCCAGGAAGGCTTGCACAGTCCTTCTTACCCTGTCAATAACACAAATAATTCCCAGATCCATTTTCCCTTCTCCCACTCTCTGTCAGAGCTGTCAAATGAAGACAAGAGGGATACAAGCGGCTGCATGTCCCTGCCACGATGGAGGTCCTTCCCCCACACCCCACAGCCACTCTTCTGGAGCAGACCAATGATCTGGGCATCTTGGGATACATGTGGCACTGCTGACCACAGCTGAGGAGTTGTGGCCACCTCCTCATGCCTCTGACATCTCTGACCCTTGAGTATTTGTTTGTAGGGTTGCTGCTCCCTCTCCCTTTCCATCCCCTCTGCTTGCACCCATCTCCCCTTCTCAAAAACTGTATTAGATGCTTCAGTGATCTTTCCATTTTATGGGGCATCCAGTGAAACAAAAGGGAGAGTAGAGCTTTGATGATTTTTGTGGCCACAGACTCTCTTTTTGGAGTGTGGAGAAAGACAGAACCCCCTTGAGAAAGCAGCCAGGAGTCCCCTACTCTAAAGACTCCTGAGGGGGTTCTGTTTATTCAGAGCCTTTGCTGGAGGGTGTTCAAAACACCTTCCCCAGCCCCCTGCAAGTCGTTGGCTTATATGGGAGGGTGGACAGCATCAGGGAGAATAATAGGGATGAATGCAAGCACAATTCATTGTGAAGCTGTTTAGGAACACATCAAAAACTTAACTCAGCACTAATCCAGCATTAAGCTCCTTGTCTGTCTCCCTGTGGATGCGGTCCGTGGGAGATGTACTCCCCATTGTGAAATGAATAAGAGGTTACCAGATCAGTGGCCCATTACATTTAATCTTGTTCTGTGATGGGATCACAATAAAAATACAAAATGATCTGCTCGACTACACTTTCATTCCTTATAGTGGCAGAGTTTCTTCAACTGCAGAAAGGCCTTACCTCAAAATCAATAACAGCAGGATTATATTTTAATGACCTTCCCCAGTGACGATATATATTGCCTTCCCAACTGTTTAAGAGCCCTCCAGTGTAACTGGTATCTCCTCCTTTAATCCGTTGAATAATATCTTCCACAACTGCATTGTGGCTCTTAGGATCTGAAAAGTTGAATTACACACATATTATTTAGTTACTGTTTCCACACATGCAGTAGAAGCTGCTTAATGAAGGTAAGATCAATTGTGCAGGGGGCTATCAGAGAGCTGCCTCCTGGAATCGGTGGGAGCTCGGTGTTCCCTGCTTGTGGGGTGAGCCCTGACACCTTATCATGAGGTGGTCGGTGACAAGTTGAGCATCCCAAATGCTTTAAGCTGCTAAGACCTGAAGAGCCTGCACACCTCCAGCCTTGGTTTCTAGTTAGGACATGGACAATAGATCACACTGTCTACATCTCATTAAGTAATGTACAAATCTGGGATTTCCTACCCTCTTTGAGTACTTTTTGTAGTCAATTTTGAATTTTTTACTAGTTGCCATGTTGCTTTTGCCATGCATGCCCAGTCTGTCATTGCTGTAGGGACTGCAGCCTTCCAGCCACCCCACTGCCTCTATTTACGTGTGCTTCTAATCCAGGTATTGTTACATTCATTCCTGCTCTTTAAAGAGCAACCAGTACTCCTGGAGACCTGGACCCAAAGTTGCTGTGGTCCCACCATGTCTGGGAGATGGCACCAAAGCTCACTTCTTCATTGCTTGTGTGACCCTGCTTGAATCTCTATGCCCAAGTGACCAGAAGAAGTGACATGAGATGCCTTAACAGACACCTGCGGCTGTATCATACCAGTTTTCATAAATCCTTCCGTTCGGCATTTAGAGTGTGACACAGATGGGTCCAGACCCAGGTGATCCACACTGACTGTAAGGCCAAGTGACAGGCGAATACAGGCCTCGATCTCCTCACCTCTGACAGCTGCAAAACAGAAAGGAAACAGGTAAATTCAATGACTCATGCTGAGTGGAAGGATGTTCATTTTCCTACTTGTTTTCTTTCTTCTATTATTGAAGAAAATAGTCAGTTATTTTCAGGGCCTGTATTTCAAAGTCCAGAGCTATTCTGGGCAGAGCACAGTGAAGAAGACAGAATCTTTTATAAAAATTGTTTCTTAGAAAATATTAGAAGTAAATATCTTAACACAAGGCTTTGGGCATGTATGTCCTTGTTTGATCTATATATTTTAAACCAAACTATTATTTTTTTACAGGTAATTACGGTAAAGCTGGGAACAGCAGCTGAAATCAATAGATCTTCACTAATTTTCCTAAACTCTGGCCCACCTGTTAGTGGCTTAAGTAGCATCTTAAGTAGTGACTTGGAGAAGGCTTGTGTGCTTAGAGCTGCTCCATCCTTCTTGTGCTGGGTTGCTGCTACCAGCACTGCTATATATATCAAGAAAATATGTAACTGGAGACCCATGAAGTGACTGCAGAGGAGAGAAAGGAACTAATGAGATGGTTTCACCAAGGTAAGCAATGTGCATATCTCATACAGCCTGGTTTTATGTAAGCACTTCAGTGTACTGCAAATACAAGGCTCTCCTCTCCAGTAGTTAAAAAGTCCATTGATTTCTTTAAGTATGAGCATTGTAAGCAATAGGTAACTTTTATGTTGCTCTTTTTGTCAAAGGACCTTAAAGTGTTTTACAAATCAGTCTGGTGATCAATACTATGGTATTAAAAGGGAAGAGGTCAGTGGGGTTTGTGTACTGTGACTTAATGACCTGAAGATGGAATCTCCATCTGAGTCCCAACCTGGAGCGTTGTCTGATGAACTGCCTCACCCCAGCACTGGGGAGCAGTGTCTTGTCTTGCTTGTGTTTAAAATACTGGTAAAAAACCCATAACTCTGGTTTCGTAGAATCATGGAATGGTTTGAGGTGGAAGGGACCTTTAAAGGTTGACATCTCCTGCACTGAGCAGGGACAAATTCAACTAGAGCAGGTTGCTCAGAGCCTCATCCAACCTGACCTTGGATGTTTCCAGGGAGGAGGTATGCACAGAGTAAATTAGAAAGAGTCTTTATATATTCTGATTAATTAAAAATGCAGCAGTAAATCTTACCACTTGAGCATGTTTAACTATCACACCACCTCTCTGGGCAACTTGTGCCAGTGCCTCACCACTCGCATTGTAAAAAAATTTCTTCTTTAATCTAAATTGACCTTCTCTTGGTTTAAAACCATCATTCCTTGTCCGACCACCACAAGCCCTGACAAAAAGTTCATCCTCATCTTTCTAATAGGCCCCTTTTAAGTGCTTGAAGGCCACAATTAGGACACCTGAAGCCTTCTCTTCTCCAGACTGAATGACCCAAATTCTCTTAGCCTTTCCTCATTGGAGAGGTGCTCCATCCCTCTAGTCATCTTTGTTGGCCTCCTCTGGACTCACTCCAACAGTTCCATGTCTTTCCTGTGCTGGGAACCCCAGAGCTGAGCACAGCACTTGAGGGGCAGAATCCCCTCCCTCAACCTGCTGCCCACCCTGCTTTTGATGCAGCCTAAGACACCCCTGGCTTTCTAGTTTGTGAGCACACATTGCTGGCTCGTGTCCTGCCTCCAGCATCTCATCCATGAACAGCCCTGAGTCCTTCTTGGCAGGGCTGCTCTCAATCAGTTCACCCCCACCCTGTGTTGATAGCAGGACCCTGCACTTGGCCTTGTTAAACCTATGAGATTCCCATGGGCCCACTTCTCAAGCTTGTTCAGGTCTCTCTGGATGATATCCTGTCCTTTGGGCATGTCAGCCGCGGCAGTCGGCTTCATGTCACCTGCAAACTTGTTCCCTTCTGCACACCCTACAGGAGAGGATCACTGGAGCTATGTGGGGCACAGATCTGCTCCTTGGCTTGCTGGGTCCCAGCTGGCAGAGGTGCTCAGCATCCTAAGAAAGGAGCTACAAGTCCCAGATTCAAACTGGTGAGACCTAAAGCATTCTCAAGACTTCAGTGGGAATTGCATCCCATTGCAAAACTGGGCCCTTGAGAAAGATTAAATGTGTAGCACTCAATTACTTGTACTAAACTGTTCAACAGTTGTAAACACAGTGGGTAAAGTTCATTCACCCACAACAATGTGAGTGATTGCTTATATTGGTGTTGGAGTGCCATAAAATTAAACTTGAGGAACACCCTGATTAATTGATTTGCCATGGCTCCCATTGAGTAATTATGTTCAGCGAGGGTCTGTCAATACAATTTGCTATAGGTTGCAGCAAGATCAGGTCTTGATAAATGAAAAGTGGTTATCATTGCAAAAGGGTGGTCATAGTAAATATTGGCACTTGAGGGGGGAGTCCTGATAGGGTTTTTTATATGATATAACTTGCGATAGTTAAATGTGCTTGAGTGATAAGATTTACTGCTGCATTTTGAATTAATCAGAATATATGAAGACTCTTTCTAATTTACTCTGTGCATAATGTTTCTCCCATAAATGTTCTTGTAATGTGTGAGCACATTATACTGTTTTCTGCTAAATAATAGAACCATAACAATCTATTTTAAAAACAAGTAATGAAAAATATTGATGGCAGAGCAACAAGGGACTCCTTCTGACATATGTATTTATTTCACTCATGACCACATCCATATAAGCCCTTGCAGCCTGAAGCTAGAAATGGGTCTGGCAGCAAAACTGCAGTCCTGAGCTCTGCAGTGAGTTGTGGTCTGTTCCCAAGTATCTAAACAGAAAAGGTGATTTAATTTTCAAAATTTGGGTTGCCTAAATGCTTAAAGTCCAGCTCATGGGTATGCTGAGCTAAATGCTCAGTGACCACCTAAGCTGCCTCTCATTTAAGGAGGACTCAGTGAAGAGGTTTCTTTCCTGGGCATGTGTTTTAGTCTCTGGTCTATGAAAAAAGGAATATTCCCTCTTGCAGAGCATTTAACACACAACCTCATGGGCTAGGTGGGTAGTGGTTGTTCTCAGGATGCAGTGGTTGTTCTAAAGCAGGTGCAATGTTGCTCAGCCCTGTGGGGACTCAGCGATACATCTCCAGGCATCTGCAGAGCTTCACACTCATCTTATGAAGCTCTAATTTTAAGATTTGAGCACTTATATCCTGATCCTGACCATTCCTCGGGGAAGGAGCATAATCCTCTTACAAACACAGCCTTCAAGCATGGCTGTAATCAACATTAGAAAAATCAGGGATTTTTTACTAAATGCTTTTAGACCGTGGCATATCAGACACTTGCAGGTGGGTCCTTCTGGGTCAGCGTCGTGTGACATAGAGCTCTGCTGATTTGGTAAATGTGGACTCTCTAGCACAGCCTGGATTAGATGGAAATTACACAGTGGTGCTGCATTAGAATGAAAATTACATCCCTACTGGGGCACATTTTTGTCTTTTGCTGAACTTCAACATCCTTCTTTCCTAAGATAAAGTATCTTGTAGCAGTAAATCTCCCCCTTATATACAAAGCAAGCATAAGATAAAGCAAAATAATAGCCTCCCTCTGCATGCTTTTGATTCATTCTTCCTTTGAAATTGGCAGCCTGCTTCCTTAAGACTTGCTTGCCAAGACCTTGTTCACTTCTATATCACTCACTCTTCAAAGTGAAGAAACGATTTGAAGACGTATCACATTTCCAAACATTAGAGGTTTGGGAACTTGATGAAAATTCTCTGAATTGGTGATTTCTTGTAGAAAAATTGGCATGCTTAACACTCAATATGGAGTGCATAGTTATCCTAGTGCTGCTGGTACCAAACCATTTCAGACCAGAGGCTGAATCTGGGGCAGAACCATGGAAATTATTGGAATTAATGGATTACAGCAATTTGCACCAACTGCAGCAATTTGCACATGTTGTCCAAGATCACAATTTCATTCTGCATAAATGTCCAGCGTGGAGTTACCAAGGCAGTTACCTGGAGTACCCTCTGCAGAGTAGAGTGATGGTCCTTAGGGGAAGTGGGATCTATTGCATTGTTGACACCTTTACAAAAGGTGGTTAGTGTACTAAAGTACCATATTATCATTTTGCGTTTTAGATTTTTGATGAGGAAAAATGTTATGCTTTGGCTCACCAGTAATGGCTATTCTTGCACTCTAGATATCTGTAGTGAGTATTTTATCTAATTGAGATTTAGAGGTGCGGCTCTCCAGCCTCATACACTCTAATTTGTTGAGAACTGGAGCTAACAGAGGTCTGTTAGTCTTCAGATGTGACACTGAACAGAATAAAGTGGCAGAGATATTGCCAAATACAGTGTGCTATTTCCATTTACAGAAAACTGCACCTTCACTATGAACAAGCTAAAAAGTGAGTGGGTCAGCTTGCTGTACTTTGGATGAGTTTGCAAACCTTGAGCATTCGTAAGAATGGCCAGAACAAAGACTATAAGGAATAGGAGAAGATTAGCAAGTGACACGGAAAAAATTGGAGAAGATAATGCTCAGGTTCCTTCTTAAACTACCAAGACCTAACCCAGATACTTCTGAAATTAGACTGGGAAGCACATTTTGTGACACTTAAGCTAATCCCCTGCCATGTGGCCAGTAGTGCATCCATCTTGTGAATGTGTGGATACCCCTGCATTGTTCGCCCTGTGCATCTTTGGGCTTATGATGAGTATGTGTCTATCATGCTGGGATGGACCAGACAGCTCAGCAAAGAGGTGCTGATGAGCACCCACCCTCCCAAGGTCCAGGGAAGAGATGGCTGTGGAGATCCATTTCGTGGTCACGAGCTTGGAAAGAGCTAGTTTAGAGCAGAAAGTCATAAACAGAGAATAGCTTCTCATTTTCTAACCTTTTCTTCGCATTTCCTCCTTATTAATGACAAGGATGTACTCAAAGACGCCTCCCATAGTGCCAGATGTCATGAAATGGGTGCCATAGTCATTGATGAATTTGGCATACATGCCATAGTTGTAGGTGTCTGGAAGCTCCTTCAGGGAGAGCAGTAGATCTTCATGCAAAACAATGTTGTCCCTTCTCATCTTGAAACGGGCTGTCTGCACCTTTGTCACAGCTCTAATGAATGAAAGGTCCTGCAGGTAAAGAAAAGAGAAGCTGCACTCAACATTCATTTAAAAAAAAATAAATAAATTTTGAGCCTCTAGGCTTGCAGAGAAAAGCCTGAGTCTCTGACAGTCAGTGTATATTGAAGGCATGAAAACAGGCCCTCGTTTAAATTAATGATAGTTCATTTTTTAGAGTCTCTTTCTTATGTGCTGTGGAGGTGGAGGGCAAAGCTGTGATGTTGGATGCTGTGAGGTTTTTTTATGATATGTGAATACAATCAGAGTAAGGCTTAACTTGGTTTTCATCCATTCTCCGTTTCTGCTATTTCTTTTTCTGGTTTCCTTTCCATAGTGTTTATTCCCTTTTGTTTTTTTCTCAGCCTCAATCAGTGATGCAGGACAAAGGTCAAGGCAAGTCCAGCCCAGCCATGGGGAATTACCCTGCCCAGGAAGATGCTGACAGGGGAGGATCTCCTGTATATACCAACAGATCCACAACTCCACCTCTAGATTAGCCATTGCCTTAGACAAGGCTCCAGTGCAACCAGAACAGCCCTTTAAATATTCCTCCAATAACTGATCATCATTTAGCTGCAAACATTGTATGAGTCTGGACAAGGGCACAGTAAATACTATAATGGTGCTCATTTCAAACAGCTTTTAAGGGCATTTTAACTCAGAACACCATCAAAGTAATTCTTCTTTATTGTTTTCTGTCAGCAGCCACAAGAGAAGTGGAGATGGGGCACAGTAAATGTGGGAAATACCAGCACTCATGTTATTAGACTGGAAAGAGGTCATCACAGCTAGTCCATGATGTAAGCCTGCTGTGAGAAGTACACCCTATTACCAGGTACTATTTTTTCAGCGTGGTATTTTAACCTCCCATAAAAAGTAACATATTTCCCCATCATAAGGCAGCTTGTATTAATTTGAACAAGACATATTTGCTACTGGAGACCATTCCCTGAGGACTATTGTTTGGATCAGCATCTTGATATTTCCTCCTCCCTCATCGTCACTTTTAAGCATTTTTTTATTTATGTGCTTAATGTAGGCATGAAACAGGATGGGGTGAGATGACATGTGTTGTGGCACTTCGTAATTCAATTTTATTCCCACTCCTTGTTTGCTAAAATGTACGAAGAACAGCAAACAGGATTACTAACGATCATACATTTGCAATTACATGAACAAATTAAGGTACAATTACTGTGTTAAAAAATGCAATTGAGAGAATAAACTGACATAAGTTACAGCCAGACCATGTGATACACAGATGATATGACTGGAGCATATGTATCACTGATTTGGTTGGGATTTTTTACCTTTGCAGTGTATTCCGTGAAATTGTTCAGGGATCCTCTGCCACCTGATAAAGCAAAGCCCAGGTTTACCAGTATCTGTGGATTTGCAGGCCCAATTCCAATGGTAAAGCCCGTTCCTCCAGAGCTATGAGTTTTAAGGGCTTTAAGCAGATCCTTCGAATCATCGTAAAACTCAAAAGCAAATCCAGAATCAGCGTGAGCCTAAAATGAAAGAGCAGACATTTTTTCAGGTACCTCTCTTCCTTTTTAATCTTTATTTCTTCAAGGAGCTGATAGTGCCTCTGCTTGAAGTCCGTGATGCTCCTGACAGCACTGGCATTGACTTCAGTGAATATGGAATAAGAAATTAAGTCACATGCCATTTCATTTGGAAATATGTGAGAAATGTGGATTAAGTCAAGCCTTTTGCTTCATCCATCTCCAAGCAGGGGAGAGGTTTGTGTTTAGCTACTCAAAACCAGAACTGGTAGCATTACCTATTAAGGTAGCTTGATACTTCCCATTATAAAATCCTTCTTCCAGTTCCTTACAGCTCTGCCAAATCCTAATGATTTGGAATGATTTTTTAAATTTTTTTTTCCTCCCCAGCCTGCTTCTGGATGAATTTATTTAGGAAAAAAATTCAACAGCTGTTTATGGTGGCAAGACCAGAAAACAAACATTGTTTTGTCTCTGTTTTTAGAGAAGTGACCTTTTCCTTGACAGCTTTACTTTGCTGGTGTGTGGAATTGAGCAGCCTTGCTAAATCTGGGCTGTGCTATTTACCAGCTCTGTAAAAAGCCAGCCCCAGTGTTAAAACTGGGGACTAAGGGGCACAGGGGACTCTGCCTGCTGGGAGAACATGAAAGCTATTTGCATTGCGTCTGTGGCCATAATATTTTCCAGGAATAATGTTTTTTCATTCATTCATGTCAAAAGGCATGATGGATGTTTAACAGTGTGACCACGGCACCCACTTTTGATGTGGGAGACCCAGGTGGAACCCCTGCTCTACTAAGATCAGTCTCCAACATCAGATGTGACCTCATGGACTATAGGTATTGCGATACACGGTGATAGATTTCAGGATCCCTGTCTCACTCAGAATTTGCATTTATGTCTCTTGTAGCCATGCCATAGACTTAAAATGCTTTCAAAGATTGAACCAGCAGCATCGTTACATTATTACACATGGCCAACTTCATCTCTAGAGAGGCAAGTGGCTTGTGCAAGCTCTACAGCTCATTAATAGCAGAATTTAGAGAAAACCCATTTTTCTTGGCTCTGACTAGGCCAGAGTAAGCAGTAGCAATGCCTGGGTGATAAAGCACGTTAGTTCCTTGATGTGCTGTAAACCAGTATTTATATCATCGATTGCCTGTTTTCTCAGGGACAGCTGGGGAAAGGTAACTTGAAAGACAACCTATAATGAATGATAAAATGTATCTGATAACTGTAGGAAGTTTGGCTTTTTGCTGGGAAATCACTGCTAAATTTGACCACTCAAAGCACTTACTAGGAATTGGTACATGTGAAAGTTGTAAGGTTTGCGGAAATACTTCTCGTCGTCTCCATAGTACAGACGTTCGCAGGCAGCATCATATTGCAGCTCCCGCCACTCTCCATTGTAGACATACTCACACTGGCCTCCAAAAAACTCAGGATCATACACAGGCTGGCTCTCTCCCTGTGTTAGGATATTGTATCTTGGAAAGAAGTAGCATTCAGAAAGTTATCCACTGCTCCTGTTTTATTTCCCCAACCGTCTCTGTCACAGGTTCTCCTGACACTACAGGTTATCTAGCCTCAAGTTTCCTGAGGAATTTGAATAGAACTTAAAATTGGGTTGGGTTTGCTATCTTGTTGGTCTCTCCTTCCCAAAGCTAACAGACATTACAGATAAACAACCATTTTATTTCCAAGACATTAGTTTGGATATGCTAGAAAGGGAAGAAATCAGTTTAGTTGTTCAGCCCCTCCCAGCACGTACAGTTATGAAAGTCCCAAAGTCCTGGAATTCCTCCAGGTTCCCCTTGAGCCTAGTGTATCTCACTGCCACAAAGTGCTTCCTGGCATTTCATATAATTATTTTCTATCTTAATTTCATCTCTTTCGTTTTAATAATGGTCCCATTTCTCAGGGCAGTTAACACCCTCCCTAGACATGCAGTCAGCTTGTGCTTTGCCAAGTCTCTCACTTATTATTTCCTTATTCCTACTTCTTCCTTCTCTCCAGCCCTCACATCTGCTGCCCTCTGAAATCCCTCCCATTACTTAGCATTCCCTGTAATTCCATAGCCTGAAATGAAAGTGTTATTCAAACTAGACAGCAACATTTCTTTTCACCTTTTAAGACTAAGATAGTAAACCCCATTGGTTTTGTATGTTCTACAGGAGAAACACATCAGAGAGCAGAACTAAATATGTATTAATTTTCACAGAGAAACATGTCTTGAAAAACTTTTGATGGATTCTCCCAGGCCCTGGGCCAAAGAGACATTTATCTCATGGACTCCAGAGAGCACTGGATAGAGCTGATGGTAAGGTTATCTAATGGCTGACTTCAATCTCATACTTTAGTCCATATTCATAGAATCTTAGAATGGATTCTATTGGTTGGAAGGGACCTTAACGATCATCTCATTCCAACCCCCCCTTCCATGGGCAGGGACATGTTCTCTAAGTGAAACTAAGCAGTATCTTGGTTAAAACACAAGATTTACAACAGGATTGTCACAATGCACAGTTTGCCTTTCAAGTTGTACTGGATTTCTCTTTTGTGCATATTACCCAATCAAAATTTGAAGTAAGGAAATATTTTTTCTTAGATAGGAGTAATTAATCTGCATATACTCATGTGGAGCTCAGTCTTCATACCTTGAATCTGTGCTCCAAAGTCCTAAATCCTGGAGTTAAATCTCCTTAAGGATGAATGCGACCAGGATGTTGCATTTCCAAAGTCTGCTGTTTGCTTTAATATATTACTTTTATCAACTGGAGAAAGCTGGGAGATAACTGTGATATATTTTTACAGGAGTAAAAAGAGGGCATCACAAGTACAGTGTGGCTGGGAGAGGCCAAGGTCAGATAGTAAATCCAAGAGAGGATTTGAAATAAAAGCTGGGATGAACCCTCCTGCCTCCCTCATTGCTACCCCTGGTTGCATGGGACAGCACCTCTCTTCTGAGTTTTGTACAGCACCCTATCAGTTCATGGATCACTGCTATTACTAAGGAAGAGCAATACAAGGATCTGGTTTTAATTGTGAGAGTAGCAGCTATTGATTAATTACTCACCCTTGGACTGCTTTTATAGACCCTGGGATTGGGAGCAGCTCTTTACAAGGGCTTTCAATATCTTCAACCTCACAGTTCTCCTCATCAGACCCATCTCTGCAGTCTTTATCTCCGTTGCACAGAAGATGACGTTTAATACAGCGACCTAAAGTGCACAGATGCAGGTGATGGCTTATCTGCCCTTCTGAAATGCTTGCTGGCAGCTTGCACCAATTGGGCTCTTTTTCACCCATATTTCAGGGCTGCAAGAAGCCATACTGGATGTTAAACACAGAGCTCTTCCAGTGGGAACCTGCTTTTCCAAGCTTGTTGCAGAAGTTTTCCCTTTGCAACTCAAGTGAGCACAGCTCCGAGTTCAAACTGGCCACTCCCATGGGGTGGGAATCAAGGTGAGGGCACCTCGCTGTCCTGACTTTATTATCTAAAATTATGCTCTTGGAAAGTTGCTATAGGAATAGCTTCTCCACTTGGCTTAAGGAAGTCAACTCTATCTTAATAAAGTGCAATTTTGCCTCTTCCCATTGTAGGAGGTATTTGGGGAGTTTATTGCAATAGAGTGCAAGAATGGGTGTTTGTAGGAAGGGCAACTTGGAAGAGCTTTTGCCTCTGGTAGTGAGGATAAAGCCTTGATATGACAACCGTGGCAGAAGGGATCTGGCACTGCTGCACTTGCCCCAGTGGAGGACGATGACCTGCTCCAGCTGATGAGCTGGTTGCAGAGCTAATGTGTGGTTCTAAATTTTAATAGAATTTTCATTAAATGCTCAAGATGGAAGTTTCAAGCATTTGTGTAGAAACAAAAATCTGACAAGGCTAGTCAAATGTTCAGAGAACAGCCGTATTATATCCCAATCCTCAGAGCTAGAGGATGGCTAAAAATAAATAAATCACCCCAACAGATTGCTAGTTGGATTGATGATTGAACTCTGTCTCTAGCGGGGGAGAAAGCAGTGTGTTGAGGGAGCGTTGTGCCCATGGAGGGGAATGTGAGTGTGTAGTACAGCAGTTGGAGCAGAGTATTTCTACTCTCTTTGTTCCACTGAAAAATTAACATTTTTCATGTCACACAGCCTTCTTTCTATCTAAATCTGAGTGTAACGTGGATGCATTTCTGTAAAAGTTGGGGGGGGGGGGGAAACAAAGAGGGTAAATTTCCTGCTTCCTGCCATCTGGTTAGCAGGGGATTGATATCACCCCGGGGCGGCCCAACCAGGAACAAAACCTCTTTGGCAGGGGTTTGTGCCCGGTTCACTCACCTGTTTCCTTGCACTGAAAGTCCTTCCCACAGCTGAGGGCTTCAGTGCACGTGGTCTCAGCACGACAACTTTTCTCATCCCAGAGGTGCCCAGCACATCTCCTCCCTGCAAACCTCGCTGGCTGCACCAGCCTCCGGTACCGGTGCTACACCACACAACAGAGACAACCACTTGTATCGCCCACAGGCATCACCTCCATGGGCTATAAAGCAACCAAAACTGTCATTTTTTCATTTTTATCTATATTGCTTTCTTTTTTTTTTTTTTTTTTTTTTTTAATATGGCCCAAAGACTTTGTGTGTGGTAAATGGAGAGGGAGAGTCAGCAGAGAGGTGGGACCTCAGATTTGCCTGAAGTTGACAGGTGGGGATTTAGAGGAGGCTGGAAGGAATGTTTTTATCTCTTGGCTGTTTTATACCTTGGAAATAATATGGCATTTTTCCAGTTACACATGTTTTGTCCTGGAATGTTACAGGCTCTGTTAGATGGACGCAGACACTAATTACAACACTGATCCTGCAACATTTCTAATGGATTATTAATGAGAATTGCTGCTCTTTAAACTAGGAAGGATAAAAAAAAAAGGAAAGGGAGAAGAGCCAAATAATTTACTGATTATAACCACAGGAATGAAAAAAGCAGGGATAACATAAACTCAGTAGAAAGCAAAATTATATCAGATATTTTAAAATAAATTCTAAAATTATGGTGACATATGTGAAATGATATAAAAATTGAGAACAGGAGCAGATGAATGAAAGCTGCTTCTAATTTCTTTTCATTGGAATATTTGCATTAAGAATCAGGGGATACTTAATTAAATCTGAGATAGAAAGGGAAGAAAGTCTTGAGTAAGTATTCTGGCCTGATTCTTCCACCATTTGCCTTGATTTTCCTTTTCTTGTTCTGCTGCCTTAAATTTATTCCCCAGTTTACACCAGGGTAAGTAAGAACCTCTCAAGTAGAGGAGCATCTCCATCATATTTGGATGGGTTTACTGGATGCTTTGGAATGATGAATATGTATAATATATATAATTAATGTGTGTACATCCTTATCACAGACACATCTGAAGATAAATGAATACATTACAGTGGATCCTTACTTTTTTCTCTTGGCAAGGAAAGCAATCAGTCCATCCTGACCACTGGCTCAGCTGACAGTCAACAGGACCTGGAGAATTAACATCTCTGCTGCTTCGTCTAAGGAGGAAGAGAGAGCGCCATGTAAGGTCTTTCAAGTTGTGTTTTAAGAGGGGTTGGAGGCTAAAAGAGGGGAAATGGTCTCTCTGTGTGTTTTTCCATCAGGAACCTATGTTGTAGGAAGTGGGAAACATCCCTTAGCAGAGGTGACTGTATTACAACCTGAGTTGTCTCATCCAGGTATTCATCACCAGCATTGATCAGGGGCCACAGGTGCAGTGCTTGAGGATTTTGTCTTGGATTTCCTGCTTTCCCAAGAGATCCTAGCCCTTTCCAATAGGTGGATTTAAAATTATAATTAAATATATGTACACAATATATATATAAGAGCAAACACACAGAGTAAACAGAAGGGATGTCATGAAGAGACAGGTTTTAAAGAAAAGATTATTTTTTGCCTTTCTATTCAGAAGCACATCACAATCTCCAGAAGTAGGGATGTTTATCACCTTGGGCATGTTTTGAAATCTATTGATTTCACTTTTTTTACACCATTGTGAACTCATGGTCAGTAGTTTTCCTGCTAAGTATGATATCAGGATCTGTTTCCCGTGGGCTTTTGGAGTGGTGGAAATGGCTACACCAACAGCACTGAGAAAACAATATGCAAAGGATGTTGACGAAAAATTTGTTCATTGACTATTTCTAAAACAAAATACATAAATTCTGAGAAGAAGAAAATAACAAAAGGAGGAGTACAAAGGCAGAAAAAGGTACTGTATCTTTGTGGCCCTTGGATCAGACTCTGCATATACACTGAATATCACTATACAACAGCAAGAAAATACTTCTCTTTCCTCCCAGCCCAGTCATTACAATCTCTGTTTCTGTCCTAACTCCTACAACCTGTATTTGTATGATGCATTTCTTTGTCTTGAGGAGCAATCTGTGGCATGCTAATACAGCTCTGTGTTTGCCATAGCTATCAAAGCATTTTAAGGAGTTATTCCAAGTCAAAATATCATTATTAGTAGTATTATTTTGGTGACTAACTAATGAGCAGTCTGTTTTACTTACAAAACTGCAGTCCAAAGAGAAATATTGATAATTAGCAGAGGTATGGAGCACATTGGGGATTCGTAAGAGGCTGTAGAAGAGAGACTTACTATATGAAAGCCACAACAGCTCAGCAAGAGAGTCTGTGGATGCAGATCATTGTGCGAGATAAAAACCCACCATGTCTCCAGGAAATCAACAGGAACCTGCAGACAAACGGAGCTGGAGGACACGTATGTATTGATGCCTTCTTGCTCTGACAGGAGGATTTGTGGGGTGTATCCTTCAGCATTTCTCAAAGTACTTAATTGGCTCACCTTCGATTGGATTTTACATTTACCTCTTCATTATTCTGCCTTGTTTGATAAGTTCATCAAACATCAAAAATCTCGTCTTTGTTCATTTTCAAAAGGGATTATCGGAATAAGCCTTCATAATTAAGTGTATCACTACCACAGTTTTTTTTTCCTTTCTGCCTTCTCCTTGTCTCTATGTTCCAATTATCACTGATACCTTTTTTTGATCCTTCTAAATCATATTTGCCTTTACAATAAGCTTGAAATTAATAGCTGTAGAAAAAAAAATCCAACCATTTTCCTATCATGACACTATAGCTTTAGAAAAAAAGTAACTTGTTTATTCCTTTCCTTCAAAGCCCAAGTGACACTCAAATAAGTTAATAATATTGTTCACAGAAAAAAATTGAGGTGTGAGGATCTGGCTTGGATTGAAAATTGGGTTATTCACATGCCCTTGTTAACTTCACATTGTCAAATGTAAAATAATTATAATGAAAAAGAATATGAAAAATATTACCTCATAAATCATCCCGTAAAGAGAATTCATTTGAAGTGCCCAAAACCAATATGGTAATTTCAGTAAGGAAGTTTAGGAAGGCTTAATAGTCATCAGTAAAAGAAAAACCATTGTGCAAACAGTTCCTTCAGGAAGGAATTATGATCCTGAGCTTGGGCTTTGGACAACTGCCAATATTTTTTTTTTCCTGGTAGCTGTTTACAGAGAGCATGGTGTGCACATGCCTCAAGTTGGGACAAAATTGATGGGCTGACTGACATGCAGGTAATTTCTATATGTAAAGTTGGAGAGGGAACAGACTTACCTCTGGGTAGGCAATGCCTCAGGCTCCTTGCATGCCGTTGCCGTGGCCTGGCGTGCCATTAAAACCAGGGGGCATATAGACAGGATCAAAAGAAAGAGATGACACTGACTCCACCACATTGTTTTCCTATATGTAAATGTTTGCTATAGATCAGCTGCAAACAAGAGCTTTAAGTTTCAGGACTGCTGGAAGAAGCATAGAGCTCACCAGCCTCCAAAACACTGAGGTAAATCATTGACAACAGCACAGATCGAATCACAAAGAATCAGGACACATCCCAGAGGCCTTTGCCCTTTTGGAAAGAAATTCCCAGTTTTCTGGCAAGGAAATATATTAAACTGTGCAACTGTTTCCCCATTAAAGTCAATCAAATCCTATTGCAGCAGTGTGTTTCTTGCCCAGCCTGCGCCCTCCTTTTAATTTGAAGGAGGAGGAAACTCATTTTATTTCCCACAGTGACTTCACTGTAATTTTGGTGTGTCTGGTTGCTGACCAGGGAAAAGCTTCCCAGTACAGCAAATTGAAGATTAGCACAAAATTGTATTATGAGGAACATGTACCTTCCAGATATGTCAGGGAAATGTCAGTTCAGCTTCCTCCAGTTGCCAGCCCCATAAGATAGTTTCTCATCTTTAAAGCTGATGTGAGTTATCCCCTGGCTTTTGCATGGCCCTTTGTATGGTCACTGAAACATAAGAATCTAATTCTTTGTTTTCCAAAGTGATTTGGGGTGAGGAAGATGTCCCACACACCTGAAATTTTTGTGCCCATACACTGTGCAAACCCATCTGTTTGTGGTGGCTCTAATGCTCTTAGCTGGGTGGCATCTTAGCACAGAAGTAGTGGATGTGCACAAGTGTAAGAAAGCAAGAACACCACAGGTTATTTATTTTTAAGATAATAGTCACAAGATGACCATATTTAGTTCTTTTGTATTAGAAGAAACTAAAAATGGCCATTGGAAAGACATTTGGTCATAGCCGAGGTTGCCCCATAGGTGTTTCCCCAAGCTTGCACACAGCCTCCAAAATTCCTCTAAGGACCCCTGGGCAGGTACAAAAATACACAAGAAATCTGTAACTTCATTAGGTATCAGTTAGAAAAAGAGTAAGAGGTCTGTGGAGACTTGTGTGTTCAAACAAGGGCCTGAATTTCCCTGCTTTTTCTTCTGCATAAGTGGGCTGAGAAGCTTCATGCATAAATGAAGTGTTCCCAGCAGACAACTGGAAGTTTGAACCTCAATAAATTCAAGAGAAAGTGTAATTATTGCAAGAAAGTCTGGTCTTGGGCTGTTACAGCTATTAAGCAGACAGTGAATTGTCCTTTGTCCACAAAAGACTGGGATAGAAGTGTCACTTTGTGTATTTCCCAAATTAATTGCAAAGCTCGTTTCAATAGCTGGTATTATAAATTATCAAAATAAAAGGACCTCTAACAGGGTTATTTTAATGTAATTAAAGTTCAGAATGACCCTGGGGCTTGTCTTTGCTAAACACGAAGAAATGTAGCACATGGGTAAACTCTGTAGTGAAATGAAATGAAAACTGCCTTTTGTGACCTTCGGGAGTATGTTAATGTAATCCCTTACCTACTTCAGATGGGTTCAGAAAGTCCTTCTCCTTTCTTTGCCTATGCAAGAAGAACTCGAATAAGGGGTTTAATATTTTTTTTAATATACTATTAAACCTAAATTGCTTTTGCCTGGGAGAAAAGTAGGGAATTGTAACTGGCCTAAGGCAATCCTCCTCGTCACCTCCATGTTACACATCACAGCCTCTCTGCATGTCGATTTTAAGATAGAATGACTTTAAAAAGATTTTAACAATGCCTACAGAGATCTGGTGGGGATGGACCCCACTGTCCCCAGGGTGGGACCCTCCCTGGCCATCTTCCAAATCCATCTTCGCTCCAAACCAGGGCTGTCCTGTGATATAAATGTCTGTTTTGCACAGCCAAGTGCCTCCTCAGCATCTAAGCAAGACTGTCAAGGCATTATATCTTTTCTGATAGCAGTATCAGAAACACACCATATATATCTAATGAAAGTTATTTGTGGCACATCTCTCAGGTAAAAGGCTGGGCTGGTTTGTGCAATCAGGCACAACACCAATTTTGCACTGATAGCTGAGGTCGTCTGGGGGAGAGGCGTGAGAGAGAGATATGAGCGGCAAGCAAAGCACTCCACGTTAGAGGTGAAATTAAAGAACCTTTCTCAAAGGTGTTATGTTCCCAAAGTGATATATATATATAAAAGCTATGGTTCCATCTATAACATTATGAATTGAACGTGTCTAAAAATGTGTGTGGGATCCTTGACTCTAAACCTGAATTAACTCTTTGAACTTCTGGCTTGCAGTGCTGGCCGTGCTGTTGATGGTGATGCAGTCACCTTCAGGAGGATGAGCCATGATGTCTTGACACTCTTCAGGAGCATGGAAATAGAGGCTGTGAGCAGGCTGGGATGAGCAGCAAGCTCACATCATTACTTTGTGACTATTCCCATCACAAACCTGTTTTCCCCAAGAAATCTTTCACTCTAATTAGAAGACATGCAACTCATTTACAACTCTTACGTATCTAAAAATCAGGGGCCTATTAACTCAGTAAACAATCTTGGGCACCCACTTGTCCTCACCGATAGCAAAACAGGATTTTGTTCCACTTCAAATGTGTCAGGCCCAGAAAGGGGAATTAATTTCTCCCTGCAGAATGCATTGATCTTTTGCATAGCACCTGAGCAGCCCGTGGGTAATGTGGCTGTCTGCACAAGCCTAGCTCCAGGGTGAAGCTGTAATATATATAATATAATGTTGTTGTCATCCAGCAATTTGCATTTTCTCCTTCTTCATATGTAGATTTTTATTTTTAGTATATTAATATAGTTTTTGCTGCAGGGAATACAGTTATGTAAAAGAATCATTCTTTTTTATGCCAATGTTCTATTTTTATTTTTTGTAGTACATTATTCATGCAATACTATAAGTCTGAATTTTGTTCCTGACCTGAAGACTGTGACCATCTAAAGGGAGAGTCCTGTTCTTTTTTATTCTATTCAATACATCCTACCCACAAAGTTGTATTCAAGCTTCTTGCTGTTGAGCATTAGGTGATGTGACTGGCACCTGCCACGTGCTGTTTGTTCTGTCATGGTTCACTAAGGAAAAGTGCAGAGCAGACAGCCTTTATTCAGGGGTACTGTTTTGTGGTGTTTTTTTCAAATTTAGAGATTGTTGCAATGTACAGGGATTACAGATATGTAGCTATGGGAAGATCAAGAAGCTATGCCTAGAAATTGGAGCTCTGCCCTTGGAAAGTTTGCCTTTTCACACGTGCTTTTCACAGCACACATGGCCTTTCTCAGCTCATCCTCTCCACAGGCGCTGGAGAACTTTCCCTGCACAGCAGCTTGGTAAAATAACTTCTGTTTTGCCAAGGAAGCAAAGCTGGCTACCGAGGTCTTCATCTCTGAACTTAAAAATCAAAATCCCAGCACAGATGTCTTCAAGAGAAGGATTTAGATTTGGAAGATGGTTTTATATCATATAGCAAATAGAAGACCTGAGTAGAAGTATGAAGAATGATAAGACAGATATGAGGTGTTTGCTACAGTTTACCCTGCAGAGCGAATGCTGTGTGCTAGATGATGTGTTTGTATGACCCTGGTCTGCATCCTCCATGTCAGAGGGGTGACAGCAAACACTGCTGATCAGCCTCTGACCAACACACTTTTCCTCTGTGCATCAATTCTGCATCTCACTTCCTGGAGTACATCTGTTTTTCATCCCCACCTAAATTCTCCAGCTACTGAGTGTTCAAGGTAAGATGGTGCATTTTAAAGACCAACAACACTGTGCATGTGTCTCAGTTACACAGAGAGGCTGTGGAGAGGCATGGAAAAGATCCAACCAAGGACCAGAAGATGACCACAGCCCTAGTGCTGGACATGCCAGCCTCATTTGGTGTCACTGAATACTGACCTGGTCTGATAACATATCTTCTACCAGAGTAAACCCATACCTTTAAACACACAAGTGATTATATGGGCTATATTGCTAGAAAAAAAGTGTGCATTTAAGTGTGGGATCAGGGCCATACTGCAGAGACAACCATGTAGCTTGCACAGATAAAATACCTGAAACATTGCAAGGCTTTTAAATTAATTTTCTTGACTGCTACAGGGCTTCAGTGGGGCTGATCTTAAAAATTCTGATGGAGCTGTGTGGTACCTACACTGGCTCCTCCTAAACAACAAGTGTCCTGGCCAGTCAATGAAAGTGTTGGATTTTGAATGCAGGGATTAATAATACTGCATTTTCTTAAATTTCTCATTCCTGCCAGCAAAGCAAGAGAGAGCAAGACGCTTGATGGTGGAACAAGCGATCCTCTCTCCCCCTCTGCTGGAAAACCATGATATGACCTCCTGGCAGAAAAAGGATGAGATTCAAGTCATCCTCATTCCTGCCCATGGCAGGGAGTTGGAACTAGATGATCTTTAGCGTCTCTTCCAACCCAAACCCTTCTAGGATTCTATCAGATGTGCAGGGAAGCAGATTGAGGTGAGTGTCCTCTTGGGGATGGAGTAAGGCATAAAATTTAAGCCAAAATCCCTCCCTCCTATAAGACTGTGCCCTGCTATCCACTTTTCCCCATTTGTCTGGGGTTTTGAGTAGTTTTTTTCAGAGATATGGACCCTGCTGCCTTTCCCCAGTGTTTTCCCACATATGGGGCCAGTAACTGTAACAAAGGAAAACAATTTGTCAGACCACACCCAATCTATAATATCATGACACTGGGCTAATGTTATCACCAATTATATCACAGGCAACACCTGAATCTAGTTGTATTCCAGAGAAGACTGGATTGCATAAAAATTTGCCTCATCTTCACCAGTCACACTGCCCAACCTTTCTAAAAGTCTGAAAGACTAGAAATAAATCATATTCTCAAGATCTGCTGTTGTTTCTGCTCTTTGGTAACACTTCTGTGAATTCAAAAAAGCCCCAACCAACAACAACAACAAAAACCAAAAGCAGACAAACAAACCAACCCAAACAAACAAACAAAAAATCCCAAAAACCAAAACAAAAATCCAAATATATATAATAGACCTATATTATATTACAAATCCCATCAGTCACTAAGTAGCTGAAAAGAATAATTCAAGGAAAATAAGTCTGCTAGATGCTGTGCTTGCAGCCCTTGGACTGATGCAACTACATAATACA